AGTAATGCAACTTAAAAGGTGAAACTAATATATGAGATAGACTCATTACATGCAAACCAAGATAGTTCAAGCCGTGATTTGTCATAATTGTGATGATTATGGCTTACAGCTCATGAAAACCCCAAATCCACAATCTCAGAAAATTAGAATATTGTGAAAAGGTGCAATATTCTAGGGGGGGGGGGGTGGGGCAGTTGAGGGGGGGGGGAGGTTTGTGTGGAGGCGTGGGGTGGGGGGGTGGGGTGGGGGGGGGCGGGGGGTGGTGTGGAGGTTTAAAGTGGCCCACTCTAATCAGCTAATTAATCCATAACATCTGCAAAGGGTTCCTGAGCCTTTAAATGGTCTCTCAGTCTGGTTCAGTAGGAATCACAATCATGGGAAAGACTGCTGACCTGACAGTTGTGCAGAAAACCATCATTGACAGCCTCCATAATGAGGGAAAGCCTCAAAAGGTAAATGCAAAAGAAGTTGGATGTTCCCAAAGTGCTGTATCAAAGCACATTAATAGAAAGTTATGTGGAAGGGAAAAGTGTGGAAGAAAAAGGTGCACAAGCAGCAGGGATGACCGCAGCCTGGAGAGGATTGTCAGGAAAAGGCCATTCAAAAGTGTTGGGGACTTTCACAAGGAGTGGACTGAGGCTGGAATCAGTGCATCAAGAGCCACCACACACAGACAGATCCTGGACATGGACTTCAAATGTCATATTCCTCTTGTCAAGCCGCTCCTGAACAACAAACAACGTCAGAAGTGTCTTACCTGGGCTAAAGAAAAAACAGACCTGTTCTGTTGCTCAGTGGTCCAAAGTCCTCTTTTCTGATGAGAGCACTTTTGCATCTCATTTGGAAACCAAAGACCCAGAGTATGGAGAAAGAATGGCGAGGCACACACTGCAAGATGCTTGAAGTCCAGTGTGAAGTTTCCACAGTCTGTGTTGATTTGGGGAGCCATGTCATCTGCTGGTGTTGGTCCACTGTGCTTCATTAAGTCCAGGGTCAACGCAGCCATCTACCAGGAGATTTTGGAGCACTTCATGCTTCCTTCCGCAGATGAGCTTTATGGGGATGCTGACTTCATTTTCCAGCAGGACTTGGCACCTGCCCACACTGCCAAAAGCACCAAAACCTGGTTCAATGACTGTGGGATTACTGTGCTTGATTGGCCAGCAAACTCACCTGACCTGAACCCCATAGAGAATCTATGGGGCATTGCCAAGAGAAAGATGAGAGACATGAGACCAAACAATGCAGAAGAGCTGAAGGCTGCTATTGAAGCATCCTGGTCTTCCATAACACCTCAGCAGTGTCACAGGCTGATAGCTTCTATGCCACGCTGCATTGAGGCAGTAATTGCTGCAAAAGGGGTCCAAACCAAGTACTGAGTACATATGCATGCTTATCCTTTTTAGAGGTCCGATATTGTTCTATATACAATCCCTGTTTTATTGATTACATGTAATATTCTAATTTTCTGAGATTGTGGATTTGGGGTTTCAATGAGCTGTAAGCCATAATCACCACAATTATGACAAATCACGGCTTGAACTATCTTGCTTTGCATGTAATGAGTCTATCTCGTATATTAGTTTCACCTTTTAAGTTGCATTACTGAAATAAATGAACTTTTGCACGATATTCAAATTTTTCGAGTTTCACCTGTATATAGAAATTGTCAGAGGAAAAGACAAGGAAGCCCGGGCAAATGCACCAATGCACAATATGGCTACGCCAATTCGTGCAAAGAAGTGCACATGCGCATAGGCAGGCGACACGTAATCATGCATTCCTGTGCACAAAAACGCACCGGCACACGCAGGGTGCACTAATTGCTGACACTGAGTGGCCTTTATAAGGAATGCAGCTCTGCTCGGTAATTGCTGGATTATCGTCAGCCCCTCCCGTTCCTGAGTCACCTGCTGATTACTCATTACTGACCCAGCTTGATCCTGACCTTGTTCCTGTCTGCTGATCTGTGTATGATCCCTGCTTGATCCTGACCTTGTTCCTGTCTGCTGCCCTGTGTATGATCCCGGCATGATCCTGACCTTGTTCCTGTCTGCTGCCCTGTGTATGATCCCGGCTTGATCCTGACCTTGTTCCTGCCTGCTGCTCTGTGTATGATCCCGGCTTGATCCTGACCTTGTTCCCGTCTGCTGCTCTGTGTATGATCCCGGCTTGATCCTGACCTTGTTCCTGTCTGCTGCTCTGTGTATGATCCCGGCTTGATTCTGACCTTGTTCCTGTCTGCTGCTCTGTGTATGATCCCGGCTTGATCCTGACCTTGTTCCTGTCTGCTGCTCTGTGTATGACCCCGGCATGATCCTGACCTCGCTCCTGTCTGCTGCAACTCTGTGTATGACCCCGGCTAGATCCTGATGTTGTTCTTGTCTGCTGTTCCATATTGTCATTCAGCAAGTTGAATGACAAAAAAATACTCAATTCCCCATCCACACATTCAAGATGGATGGGGGAATCCTCCCTGCTGAGGTATTGTATTTTGAAACCAGGGAGACTTCTCTGCCATCAGAATACACTGATCAGCCAGCAGCCCTGATCGAGCAAGGAAAATCGGACAGGATGGTTATACAGAAGTCAATTGGCAGATTGACTTCTGCACAACCTCCTTGCCTATGCATGGATTGAAATTCAGCTGGTCCCTGCTGAACTGGCCAAATTTCAAACCATGTACAGCCAGCTTAAATCGGGGCTTCAGTCTCCTGTAAAAAAATAAAAGTCAGTAGCTGCAAAAACTGTACCTGCTGACTTTCAAAAAACAGACACTCACCTGTCCCATGATCCAGCGGTGTCCTCACCCCAGCCAGGTTTACCAGCCATCCTCAGTCCCCGGCATCTTAAGCGTGTGCACCCAACTGTGACAGCTTGTGGTCAAAATCTTCTGAGACCTGTCACGTTTCCCAGAAGACTGCTGGTGGGGGGGGGGGGGGGAGGAGAACTTCTGATTTCCTAGGCAGTCAGAGCGGAAGTGAGTACCTGTCAAAAAAAGGTGCCAATCCTTACCAGGGATCAGGGGACGAGTTTAAAGCGAAACTTCCCCTTTTGGGTGAAGGTCCGCTTTAAGCAAACATTTAAGTTTAGAAGGCAGACGCACCAACCAAATGCTGACACTGCATACTAATTTGCAATTATCAGAAATATGCAGCATGAGGTACTCGCTCTGAAAGTTTGTGAAAGGTCCAAAGTGCCATTATCATATAGCTGAGATACTGTAGGTATTCCATAGGGTCCCAAAGTGTTCATCACAAGATTTATAAAACTCCTTTATGAATTGTACCACAGTGGGGCATTTGGTGAGTACACGGTATTCTGTCTGCCGAAAACATCCTGGCCAATACCACAGCAGCAAGAATACCTTTTGTAACTAGTATTACAATGTATTATTCTATCAAACACTCTGTGCTAAGATACTTTTGATTACAAGTAATTAGTTTACTTGCTAAACACTGCTCTCTTTACACTTAACCCGACCATAGGTGGATTGAAATTTGGCCCGCTCAGTAGAAACCGGACAGATTTCATTTCATCGATGGGCAGGCTGCTTGTACTGAAGTAAATCTATCAATTGACTTCAGTATAACCAGCCTATTGGGTTTTGTTTGCATGATCACTGTTGCTGCATATAGCCGGCAGCAGTTAACACTGACTGTGTTTTCTCTCCTTCAACCTGTCGTTGAAGGAAAGAAAATTGCATAATGTATGACCAGCCTGAGTGCTCGTTCACATATGTATAGACTAGATGCAGTTTGAACCGCATCCAATCCACATGACATGTGAAATACCATTGCTTCCTATGGTGCCGTTCACATATGTCCGGTGCACAGCCAGTGCAGATTCAGTGCAGTTTTATAAAGTCCTGTCCGATTTCTCAGCAGTGTGGTCCAGTTCAGGTGAGGATTACAGGCTATTGACTTCTATGGGAACTTTTCCTAAACCGCATATGTGTGAACAGGAGATAAAATCCTGAGCTAATCCTGTCCTGAACCTGATGTAAACCTGATATGAATCCATGAACGACTACTGTATCAATTAGCTGTGAAACCTGAGCTTCAATCCGCACCGCACATATGTGAATCAGCTCTTAGGCCTGCTGTTAATATTGTTTTCAGAATTATAACCTTCCCATCCCATTTTAGCCACTTTCAAACAGTAATTCACATCACTGGAAAAAATGTTTTTTATATTTTATAAACCTTTTTTAGGAATCAAGTGCTTGTCACGAGTTACCAACTTTACAGTTCTTCAATTATAACAGTATGAGCTAATGCTTTTAACAGACAGTACAGTACAGACCTATGCATATAGTTACATATAAGACACATTGGTTTAGAAATGATATAGTATATCTAACAAAAATAAAGACAAATGCATGAAGAAACTATGAAGAAAAGAATTTACTTCAATAAAACTCATAATTAAAAGTGATTTTTAGCAGAAGACTCAGTATTGTAATTGGTAATACAGTGAGGCATATTTATCATGAAAATTAGAAATATATCCCCCTTCCTGCCCAGGCCAATTTCCAGCTTTCAGTGCTGTCACACTTTAAATGACAATTGCGCGATCATGCAACACTGTACCCATATAAAATTTTTATAATTTTTTTTCGGTGACAGATAGAGCTTTATTTTGGTGGTACTTAATCATCTCTGAGTTTTTTATTGAAAAGTTTATTCTTAGTTTTTTTTTTTTTATAAAATTTTGTAAATAAGTGATTTTTCTCCTTCACTGATGTGCACTAATGAGGCTGCACTGATGGGCACTGACAGGCTGCACTGATGGACACTGATAGGTGGCACTGATGGGCACTGATGAGGAGGCACTGGTAGGTGACACTGATGGGCATTGACAGGCATCACTGATGGGCACTGATGAGGAGGCACTGGTAGGTAGCACTGATGGGCATTGACAGGCATCACTGATGGGCACTGAAAGGCAGCACTCATATATGGCACTGATAGGCGGCACTTATAGGCGGCACTGACTGGCACTGTTAGGTGGCACTGACTGGCACTGTTATTCGGCACTGATAGGCAGCACTGACAGGCACTGAAAGGCGGCACTGATGCACGCTGATAGGCGGCACTGACTGGCACTGATTGACAGCACTGATAGGTGGCATTGACAGGCATCACTGATGGGCACTGAAAGGCAGCACTCATATATGGCATTGATAGGTGGCACTGACTGGCACTGATGGGTGACACTGAAAGGCAGCTCAAATGGGCACTGATATGTGGCATTGATGTGCACTGGTAGGAACTGAAATGTGGCACTGATGGGCACTGGCAGGTGGTATGGATGAGCACTGACAGCTGGCACTGATGGACACTGACAGGTGGCACTGCTGGGGCTATACAAATCATCAGGGCACACTGATCATCAGTGCTCTGAAGATCTGTATACATGTCCCCTATGTGGAATGCCGATTACCAGCTCTCCTCTCCTCACATGACAGCTCGTGAGGAGAGAAATGCCGATAACTGGCATTTCCCTGTTTACATGTGATCAGCTGTGATTGGACACAGCTGATCACATGACCAAGCCGACATCTTCGGCTCTTTCCATTGATCGGTGATCCGCTGTGTCTGTGGGACACAGCGCACCGTTGATCACTGCGCTGCTCGCTCCCGGAGCCGCGCATGCGTCGAAAGAATGGGAGGACATCATATGACATCCTCCCAGAACAAGAGAACCGCCTTGCGCCCGTCATTGTACTATATGGCGGGCAGGAGGCGGTTAAAGCTGAAAAGATATTGCATGTCTCTTCTGCAAAAAGCCTGTCTACATGCAGTTATTTAGCTTAAGAATTTAGTTCAGCTTTGAGGGCCAATTCACACCATGCCCTGAGCTGAATCGCACAGGAACATGCTATGCATTCCTGTGCAATTCATATGCGGCTCTATTTGGTACGATTTCAAGCCCATTCATTTGAATGGGATGAAATCGCACAGCACCAAAAGTAGTGCCTGCACTAGTTTTTGAAAAGCACGACAACCACATTGCATGATACTTTCTACCATGCAATTTGGTGTGGGCCAGTGCGGGCAAACTCACTGTGTTTGTGACTTGTGTTTGAGGTGTCTTTCATTTTTAACTGACCCCCACATCAGATCTCTCCAGCTGATTGTACTGTTGAAATGGAATTCCAGCTTACACCTAACTAGCCTTAAAACTGTCCCCTCAGGTGGCTGCAGGGGAGTGAAAAGAATGCTCCAGTAACGGCTAGTAAAGCCTGGAGTGGTTACATCACCCATAGGCTTCAATGACCCATCCATTGTCAACGCAGGGAAACTGGATCACTTGACCGGACCAAAGTGGCCTGAAAATAGTTAAGTATTTTCTTACACAGGTTAGTTAGCATAGATGTTAGAAGGAGGGTGGAGACAATTTTAAAGCTAGGTAGGTGTAAGCTGGAATTCCACTTTAGGTTAGTGATTTTTTTTAAACAGCTCCAGAGATGATACACATCATGATTTAAAATTGTCCAGTGTGCTGGAGGCTGCTTTGTTAGATTGACGTTGTCAGTCCTCTGACCCTGGACTCCTTTGCAGCTGTGATCTTCTGGTGCTGCAGAGGTTAATATAAACAGCTGCACCTGATAGGCACCTGTCATAGGCACCTGTCAAATGTGCTGACTAGGCCCGCCCATTCTGCCCCCATTTCTGATGAATTGTCACTAAACTTCAGCTTTAAAGAACTTCAAGATCAGTTTTTAGTCAGTCAGGGCTGGCAGGCTGCTAAGATTCTGGTGCAATAGAAAGTGATAGAAACAAAATTTCACTGCTTTTGTTGTGAACTTTTAAGATGGATTTCTCCACAGTGTCCAGCTGTAGAGGTGATTGAGAACTTGTTTACTTGTTCAGAATCTGTAAATACTTAATGTGCATGGTATGGGAATAGGTTCACTTTAACCTTCCTCCTCCAACCAACATACCAGGTCCAACAAACACACTCGATACTCTCCTCCTTTGGCCCTGTTACCACCGAGGAGGTTGCCAAACTCCTTTCCAAGGCCCACCTCACCACCTATCCCCTCACAATTATTGTGCCCTCCTTCCTGCTCTGTCATAGACTCTCTAACCGCCACTCGTCTACTTTAATGAACAGCTCCCTCTTCTTTTTCAATTCTACCAAGGGGCAAATTTCCTCGCCTTTCATTAGGTCTCTTAATTCAGCATCTCCCTTCCTTATCCATCTCCCTGCAATCTTTTCATTCCCCGATGGAAAAAAAACTGTGTTTACAATTGGCATAAACATAGAGTTAAATTCCCATCCCATCTGTTTGTGCATTGTGTCCCAAGCTCTCAAAACAATTCTTGTAAATACACTTGTACTTTCTATCACTCCATGAAAGTGAGGTGGCAACCATATTATCCTATCCAAATGTGTTTTACTTAAAGTGTTTTCTATATTTATCCAACTTTTCCCCTGTGAGGTATGTGTCCAATTAAAAATTCATGCTATCAATACTATGTTATAATATCTTCTGAAAGCAGGTACACCTAAACCCCCGTTTTCTTTGTCTCTGGTTAGAACTTCATAACTTATTCTAGTTTTTTTATTACTCCATATAAACTTTAGCATAATTTTTTTCATTATCCTAAAATACAGTCCTGGCAGCTTTATTGGGATCATCTGGAATTTATATAAAATTTTTGGGACGATTACCATTTTAATTAAATGTATTCGTCCTATCCACGATATACCACCTATCCCAAATTTTCTCATTTCATCTTTCATTTCGTTTAATAACAGAATATAATTTACTTTGTATAGATTCCTAAGTATTTTAGTTCTTTTTCCTTCCAAGAGAAAGGAAATTCCTTTTGCAAAGCCTTTCTCTCTCCTCTTGGAAGATTTATATTCAAGATTTCTGTTTTAGTTGGGTTAATTTTTAAGTTAGACAAGTCCCCATATTCCTTCAGTGTTTTCATTAAATTGGGTAATGTTATCCTTGGGTTACCTGCATAGAAGAGCAAGTCGTCGGCATACGCCTCTACTTTATGATCTGTCTCTCCTATCCTAATTCCCTTGATATCTGTATTTTTCATTATTTTCTCTAAAAGGGATTCTAAGGACAGGAAAAAACAGCAGCGGTGACAAAGGGCATCCCTGACGTGTCCTATTATACATCTTAATACTCTCTGATATTTCCCCGTTAACCTTTATTGCAGCTGATGGTTGACTGTACAATTTCCCTATCCATATTCTCATTCTAGGACCCATCCCTAGGACTTTCAGTGTATCCAACATATACCCCCAATCTACTCTGTCAAATGCTTTTTCAGTGTCTACCGACAGTAACAAAACAGGGAATTTTTCTTTTACATTTTTGTATAAGCATTATTTTTTTATTTATTTATTTCAGGTACTTATATAGCGCTGTCAATTTAAATATATCTATTATACATTCACATCAGTCCCTAACCCTCAAGGGGTGTACAATCTAAGGTCCCTAATTAACATTCATACATACACATACTAGGGCCAATTTAGAAGGATCCAATTAACCTACCAGCATGTCTTTGGAGTGTGGGAGGAAACCGGAGTACCCGGAGGAAACCCACGCAGGCACAGGGAGAACATGCAAACTCCAGGCAGGTGGTGCTGTGGCTGGGATTCGAACCAACGACCCTAGTGCTGCCAGTCAGAAGTGCTAACCATTTAGCCACTGTGATACAGTTTCCTTCTCCCTGTCATTTGGGGCCCAGTTGAACCTTGGTATGGGGCAGTAGGATCCCAGAAGATGAGGTTTCGGGCCAATTTGTGCAATACCATTGCACATAGCAGGTATGTATAACATGTTTATGATTTTATTTAAAAAAAAACAGCTTTATAATCACTTCATGTACTAAAAGAAAGCCAAAGCTATCCTCAGGAAAACAGTGCAATTTGTTTATATATAAAGTTCTTATGAATTGAATATACATATTGCAAAATGAAAACATTTGTTGAGTTCGTTAAGGGGGTTAAACCACAGGTATTATCCCTACTTTCTCTCCCAGGGACAAACCCCACTTGATCCATATGGATCCACTCCGGCATTAACTTCTTCAGCCTACTTGCCAGCACTTTTGCATACAGTTTGGTATCTATGTTTAGTAGGGATATCGGCCTATAACTAGAACACTGTGTGCTATCTTTCCCTTCTTTTGGTATTATTGTGATATGAGCCTGTAGGGATTCCTCCCTCATTTCCATCTCCCCTCCCAATGCATTCATATATGTAGTTAATTTAGGTATCAATTGATCTTTAAATTTCTTATTGTATCTCACAGTATACCCATCCGGTCCTGGACTTTTCCCTGCCATAGTACTCTTCAATGCACTATAAATTTCTTCTTCTGTTATTGATCTCTCTAGGGATATTAACTGCTCTTCTCTCAATTTCGGTAACCCCGCTTCTTTTAGGTGTGTCTGTCTTTTTTTTACTTCTTTCTTCCTCATCTCTTATGGACTGTTGGGGATTGATATTATATAATTTACTATAATAATCTCTAAACACTTTTGCAATATTTTTGGTAGAATATTTTAGTTCTCCTTTATTATCTCTTATTTTCTCTATATAGTTCCTAACTTTCTTTTTTCTTTGAGCTCTCATTAGGAATTTTCCTGGTCTATCTCCCCACTGATATCTTTCACTACTCACCTTATTAAACACTCTCCTTTTTTTCTTCCTCCATTAATTTATTTAGTTCTTCTCGTTTTTCCAATATCTTCTGCTTATTCTGTTTTGTTATATTATTTTTATGTACCTGTTCTAATTCAAGTAATTCTATGAAGTGTGTTAATTCTCTCATTCTTTTCCTTTTTCTTTTTCACCCCAATCGCTATTAAGATTCCTCTAATATATGCCTTGTGGGCTTCCCATACAGTCACCACCGACACCTCCTCAGTCTCATTTCTTTCGAAATATAGTTCTATTTCTCTTTTAATTATCTGTTCCGTCTCCTGATCCTGAAGATCATTTTCTTGATCCTCTATCCTATATAGCAGATTTCTTTGTTCTTTTCTCATTTCTATCGTCCACTTTTCTAGTTTCAAAATAGTTTGGGCCCTTTCTTCCACTTTTCCCTCTTTCTTCCACTCTTGATATCATTTGCCCCAGATCTTTCTGTATTATCACCATCTCTTGTTTTATTGATTTTTCAAGGCTTTGAAACATTTCAGCTATTTCTCCTTTGTTTGACATTTGTAGTTCCTTTTCTTGTTCTACCGCCTCCACTCTTTTTCTCCTTTTTTAACCACTATTAGCTGTTTCCAGGGATAGTCTAGGACTATCTTCCATACTGATTTCCAACACACTCCTTTCACTTAGTTCTTGTTGTCTTTCTGTGGTCAGGCTCCCCTGTGAGGGTATATATTTTTTAATTGTACCTGTTTGGGAGCTCTTGGGTCCACCTCCTTTGGCTATTTTTTTTTTCATGCCGTGAGAAATTTGATTCGCTTATCCAAACTCTGTGGGGAGGGTTAGTTATTATACAGTCCCGTATATCACTTTTAATTCTCCACCACCAGACTCTCAAACTCAATCTTTCTAAAACTAAGCTTGTAATATTTCCTCCTTCCCAATCCCCCACTCATGACTTTACCATTAAGATCAA